CCCCATGCGCTACGCCGTCACCGAATTCGGGTCTGGTCAGACTGATGACGTGGCGATTGAAGACGGCGTACTCTCCTTGTGTGACGTCATACCCGGTCATATAAGTATATTGCCCCAATGGGATTGGAATGCGAACAATTGGAACACGGTCGTCTGCACGTAGCTTTATTTCACTGTCGAATCCCAATGGCCCCGGTCTCATATAGAAGTCTTCAAACTTAATGATACTTCTTGCAGGCACTTCCATCCCCCGATTTCGACCCTCACTGACAGTGAACTGATTGTCGATTATAATCATCCACCCAATACTCTGAATCTTGGTAGCGTAAAAGCGAACTCGTTTGCCTCGCGACTCCGTATAGAGTTTAAACTTAGCAGACTGTGGAAGAGTCATAATTGCGAATGTAAAGTTTAGTGACGTGGTCTGGAAAGACACAGGGGTTGGATCAACTCCTGACAAGCTATCATCACCAACGATCATGTCGATGCCGTACCATTCTTTCAAAAACTGTAGGAACTTTCTCCCTTCAGCTGCGATGCTGGCGTTAGTGTTTCTATCAAAATATCGGTGTACTCGGTACCATTGTTCGCTGGGAAATTGTCCGCCCATGATGCTGCCATGACTAATCATAGTGTAGACGTTGCACATTGTCTCTCCCGCCACCACCATTGGCAATGCGAAGAAACACAGGAGGGAAAAGAGATGCAGTACCTTTAAAAAGGAACAGTGTTGCAGTGTTAACTAGACACATATGTTGGATATATGTATATAAAATAACGAAAAGATTAACAGTAATATTAAAAGACAAAACGTTCAGTCCACAGTCCCCATACCGTCTTTTATTTGAAAATTTTTGAAAATATTTTCCAAACTAACCCAGAGTGTTGGGTACTAAAAACAACCCTTAGACTACTGTTAAGTACATTGAGGGACATGAACATGTGATTACATAATTCGCACTTTTATTCCCAGCAAGCATATCTCTCAGATTTGTTCACTCACATGTTTGTGAACGTGGTTTTTGCTAGTAGGGTAAGTAAACACTAAGACTGTGTCGAGTATACGTTAAATACTGTTGCAAACGACACCAGATACGGTCGATATGCAACCATTTTCGTACCAACATCAAGGGCAAGTAAAAAAGGTCAATATCAATTCTAGATTTGTTTGGAAAACATTCTTTGGTGTACGAGCAAATGTGCTCCCAGTTGAGATCAAGAACAATACGAGTTGTAAAACTGAAGTATAATGATGAAACTAGATTTTTTCTGGGTTTAGTTTCCAATGAACCCCTAGTAGACCCTATGTAAATAGTGCAATACCTGCAGCCCGTTGCATTTACTGTCAACAACACAAGATGTGCAGCGAATCGGTCAACAAATACACCGGAGCTGCTATACCGTACTAAGGTTTTTAATATAGAGGTCCGTTAAAAAAACAGAAAAGTGAAAAATGAAGCTAAAAAAATATTTGCGAATTCAATTTTTAAAGGTCTAGTGACAGAAAGTGATTAATAAAGCTTCTTTTGTATAACATGCGAACATTTTCCAATTCACACCTTTATAGTTTGCACATTTTTTATATTCAGTAACGAAGGTTTGAGTAAAAACAGTTTTAAAGATAACGCTTCCCACTCACCATGTTCTAGTGTAAATCTTTCTATTAAGATGTTCCAGCGGATCTCTGGTGATATGTTTTGGTACACCACTCTGATCGATGGTTAACGGCAACTGTACAACGATGAAATGCGCGCTTCAAATCGGTTATCCCCAAATATAATTTGAAGAAGACGGTTAATGCTACCATCACATAGTCGCAATTTTCACTTTTATCTGCGCAACCCGCATGAGCAAAAACCATTATACTTAGATCTCATTTCCAATGAAACTATCGTGCACAGGAGCCGCTGTGCTGAGAATAGAATAACACAAATAATGTCGTCTGCTCCTGGAGTCCATACACAGTGCTACATGACGTGATACCAAAATGGATCCAATGGGCAATGATGCCACTACATGGTTGAAATAATGGACAAATGACATTTCCAAGTTATTCTATGTCTTGTTCATTGCAAAGATTGTGGTGTTTTGTATTATTCATTAGTCTCCACTCTCTAAACTCATGATAGCTTTGCCAATGATGCTGAGCTTAGTACATAGAATAAAAGACTACTTTGAAAAAAAAAGGACGACATGTAAATTGCATTAGTTGAACTCTTTGCGACAAAGAACACAATGTCTGCAAGAATGAGGATCGACCCAGTTCGCTAATTCCAAATAACCAGCTAAAACATATAATAATATTAAAGTTTTACTAACCCGGATATTCCCGTCAAATCAAATTAAACGTCGAACACAGGAATTCAATATGACAATGTTTGAGTTTCTTATTTAACACTTAAAACATCTTATTTACAGCAAATTCAATGACATTAGCAAAATTTAACCTGTGGTACGTGCGTTAATTAAATAAAAAAAACAAAAGGTGATGTTCAAACCATCATGACGTAACTCCAAACCATAAATGTCTGAAGTTGGAAACGTAAGAAACTTTGGAAGGTGATAATATGGCTTTTGGACATTTGCTACACGCGGAAGGGATGCATTTAAAAAGTTACTTACACTGCTATTGTCAATTTTTATCTGCACGCGTATGCACTAGTTTATTAATTAATTTCTGGTTTAGATATTACTTTTAATCTGTCTTACAATCAGAGTTGTAATAAAATTTAACCCGGTAAACTATGCAATCTAAGAAATCAAAGTCTTTTACACACTCTAAAGCGATGCTTTTTCAAGTATCGTCATCCCTTTAAACTCGATACAAGCAATGTTCTCCATATGACTTCCATATTCTGTGCGATTCAAAACGCTGTCAAGGTGGTTGATAAATTCCCACACGAGAATTCCTATAAGGTTCCAAATGACCCAATAGAACATTGACTTTAAAAAACTATAGGGTCCCCAGAGAGGTCCTATGAGACGTTAAGTGTTTTATAGGAAACTAGCGCCAAATGCTGAAGGGTTCTGTTGGATAAATTTCCTAGACAGAAATCCTAAAGGACGTCCAATAGAATTCATATGGAGTCCCGTAGGGTTCCTATAGAGTCCTGTAGGATTCCTATTGAGTCCTGTAGGGTTCTCGTAGAGTTCTGTAGGGTTCTCGTAGAGTTCTCTAGGGTTCTGGTAGAGTCTTGTAGGGTTCCTGTAGAGTCCTGTAGGATTCCTGTAGAGTCCTGTAGGGTTCCCATAGAGTCCTGTAGGGTTCCTATAGAGTCCTGTAGGATTTCTATAGGGTCTTGTAGTGTTCCCTTAGAGTCCTATAGGACGTCTGATAAGAAAGGGTTATGTTCTCAAATTTACAGTACATTTAGTTTGCTTTTAGTTCAGATTCTTGTCGTCCAGGCAGACATCGTACCCGCAGCAATGACAAAGATACGGGGGACAGCGTCCGCGAGCTTTAGAGACCACGGCAGAGGCTTGGATCTCTGGAATGGTGGTAACCCACAGCTTCCAACGACTGGGTATGACGTCAGAAGCAGGCTTGGTGACGTCACCTAACTCGATGTATTCTTTCTTATCTGGTGTGTATGGTGGCCAGGGCGTGGTGGGCAGGTCTGGTTTGTTAGGATCCCTTTATTAAACGAATGAAAACTATTATGTATTTGTGCATGGCATCAACATACAGTGAATGTTAGATTAGTATGTAGAAAAACGAAACTCCTGGAAAAACAGTTTTCTTTGTCATCCAGATTCATTGTCCAAAAATATGTTGTGGAGGCTACTTCCTTTAACTCGATTTTGGGTTCTATGTTTCGTAACCGAGACGAGAAATGGCGAACTAGTACAATGGCTTTTGCAAACATCTCTTGGTAGCTAAAATGTTGACACAGCTGTATGCTACTCTTTACGCAAGGCGTCAGGGAAAAAATAAAGTTGAAGGGATAACAACTGTTCATTTTGACCCCCCCCAAAAAAAATTTCCTGGGGTAAACAGCAATTTTCCCATACTTGCCATTTCTACATTCAAAGTTAGTCCCTGTTTTTTTCTGAAAAGTTTTTTTTTGTAATAGTCTCTTAAGAGAGTATGACATAGTATAGCCATCTATGGAGGTCACAGATATCAGGTTTATTGCTATAACGACCTTTTTTTTGTAAAATAAAATATATTATATTTTTATGAGTTGTTTACGATGTATTTATTGTGAAATGTACATCTCATACGAAGAGTTGTTATACCTTTAACTATACTTTAAAGAAGTACATGTAATTGTTGTAGCACCAGAATTATCATATCTATACTCACCCTGTTTTAGCAAAGTTCGCCCAATACTTCATCATTTCGTAAGAGATCTTCTTGTCTCCGTCATCAAACTCGACACCATCATCAAACATAGTTGGGTGATCTGGACCAAGGAGATACGAAAGGTCGTCTGCGTGGTTTGATCGATCGAACCAAGGAGGGGTTTTCAAAACATAGCCATATGAAGGTACCTTTGTGAGGTAGTATAGATATGTAGAGCCACCACCTGGTGATACGTGTTTATCTGTTAGAATGGCAACTGGTCCTGCCAACGCCCAGTCTGTCACGATGTCGACGTAGCGGTTAGCAGTGTCATATCGATTAGCTGTGCTGTTGTAGTATTCCTTCATCAGCACTTTCCCAATCTTGGCTTCGTGGCCAGGTGCGACTTGCTTCGCCACGGCAGGGATGAACTTGTCTCGTAACTCTGCAGGCGTAATCCCGTTATCGATGTCATGGGTCAATATCGCCCCATCTCCGTCAGTGAACCCTGTCAAACAGTCTAGAGAACGAAAGTGCCGGATCACTTCTGAATCAGTTTTTTTAAACATGTCTGATAAGGATTCTGGGAACATATCGCCATCGACCTCACCACTGTAATGGAGGATCCCAGGGACGCCGATGGTAGCAACGATACTCGCGTCTAGGAGTCGTTCAGCTTTTGTCTTCCGTAGGCAATCGAGGAGTTTTGGCCTCTCTGTTGGCCCAGCGTGGCAGCCTATAATGTCGCCAATCCTTAAGGAGAGTGTTGCAGCCTTTTCCGTCGACCACGCCCAATATGCCCAGGGTGCTCCGCTTTGAGGGATGAAACGCTGAAATAGGCCCTTAGCTCTTGTGGTAAGGGCAAGCTGAGAGACACTGCTACCCCCGGCAGATTCTCCGAATATAGTAACCCTGGAAAAGATTAACATTTGATGGAGGCATTCGAAATGCACACGTCTTCTTCAGGGTTCTTCCATGCGTAAGTATTTATCTGATTAATTGAATCTACCGGGTTCGGATCATTATATCATGTAATACCACTAGGAAGTATTTGTTGGGTGGATGTATTTTATTCTTTCATTTGAGGTAACACAACAATGTCACTTAAATTCGATGTAGTATATATATTTTCTAAAACATGCATTACCTTCACTGGTTTGGCCAAGCCCAAGTAGCAGAAAAGTCTCGAAAATTCAAACAAAAGACGGACAGGCAAGCAGGCAGACAGTTTAAACAAGTGACAATCATTTCAATCTTACTTTTTAGGGTCACCACCAAAGGCTCCAATGTTGTCTTGTACCCACTTCAGGCCCTCAATCTGATCCCACAGTCCCAGATTTCCAGGTGCATTAGCGCCATCTATACTCAGGAAACCAAATGGTCCCAGGCGATAATTTACTGATACAACGATGATGTCGCCTCTTGCAGCTTAATAGAAAATACACACTGTAGGTCTATTTTTAAAATATATTTCACAAACGGTGTATTATAACACCTTTCTGACTCCTTTTTTGTCTTTTTATTCTTATTTTCCTGTTTTCTTTCGGTTTATTTGTAAAATATTAAGATCAAAATCCAGACGAAGATGAAAATCCAGACGAAAGTTTAACACCATCTTTGAATTAGTGGTGTAACAATTGTAAAATGAGAAAAATAACATCGGTGTCAATTTGTCTTTAACATGCTATATTCTGTTTAAGATATAAATATTGAAAATATTTATTTAGGCGGAGAGGACTCATCTAGGTTCAAAGCAAACTAAAATATTTGGTTAAAAATCTGCGATTTGATTTCTATTTAGGCACTGGACCTATATACATGTAGATGCACCGCCAACGAGCAGATTGTATAACCATTAATAAGGGTCATCCAGTGGACCTACCGAATTCGGTGAAATCATAGTGAAAACTGCCTCCAATGTAGTAGCCCCCTCCATGAATCCAGACCATTACAGCTTTGAGGCCAGGGGTATCAGGAACAAACACGTTGAGTGTCAGGCAATCCTCAGATATCTGCAGTGGATAATGAATTACACACGAGGCACGACTCCTCCATAAACTCCATACAAATACCAATAGCTTTGGATCAATAATTCATGAAATATGAACATGAATGAAATTGCAGCTTATATAAATATCATAGTCCTGAGAGAACACCCAAAGCGGAAGAAGAAGAAAATGAAGAATTTTACAACTTTGATTTAAGTTAAGATTCTAAATCTCACGTAATGCTGTCAATGATTATAAATCCTACATGTTACATGTATAATTTAATGCACTAGTATGTGAACTTTGTACATGTATACCCACGTTCTTCGGGACAGGAAATCCAAAAGGGTTGGGTCTCTGCATGCAAGCTGGACCGTACGCCGTTGCTTCCTTCACCCCCGGCCAGCGGCTCGCAGTCTGGGGCTTTGCAAATCTAAGGTTCCCAACTGGCGGCGTGGCAAAGGGGATTCCGAAAAATTCGTTCACAGTTATCCCGTTCACTGTTTTGTTGAAACCACGTATTATACCGGTTCTGATGGTGACCTCTAACTGGCTGTCTACTACAGTTACTGACAGAATAAGCAAAGGCAGGTATCGAATGCACCAAGCCATTTTACGAGATTTGATCAAGAACTAAAAAAAGTTTGTGGCTCAGTGTTTGCTTCAGTGTTTGTGTTATGGCTGTATCTTATCATGCTACCTGAATCAGGTCAGAGTAACGTGTCTGCTACACTATGAGGGTAGACTGTGCGACCTACACATGTCAACGAATGCCTATCTCTACCATAGCAATTCCATAAGCTTTGTTTGTTGACAACTTAGAAACTTTAAATGCAAAACAGTTATACCATGTACGTTAAGTGCTCTCTTATGATAACGTATATGATCTTTTGAGGACAAAGAACTCCTTTAACAAGATAGCTGTCTTATGTTGTATTTGTGGAATTTAGAACACAATGCTGCCCTTGCCTGATACTTTTTATGTAAAAAATTGTTTGTTGTTTTTTGTTCATGGCGCAGAAGTTGAGAAAGCTACATAAGTGAAAATACTGTGGAGATAAAATTTAGTGATATAAGCGGCATGTCCAATATTACATGTACATTCATATTGATTAATGCTCCCAACTCAATAAAATTTAAAAATAATTATCTCGGCAAATAGGCTGACATTAAAATTAAACTACAGTGGTGGGTATTGCTCAAACAACGAAACCACTTGCCCTTAATGTGGAAATGTTGCTAGAAAATGATTGACCATGTATGTTGTATCTTTAAAAAAATTAAAATTTAAGTACCCAATATTCAGAAAGTTGGGAATTAATCTTCGTTAGCATACTTTCAAACATAAGGTAATAATTAGCGAATTCAACAACAGCAGTTCAATGATGGAGATTAAAATATTAATAGAAATAAAAAGGGCTAAATTAAATCTTACACGTTAAATTGATAAAAGTTCTTTGCATAATAACTTTTGTAAATAGGCCAACAATTCCCATAGAAATGTACAACCTTGAAAATAAAACCTTTGATCGTGGCTAATTTCAGTCAAATTATGATATAAAATGTGAATACATGCAATTTCCAACTCAGAATAATAATTGTGATGTCATTTGATAATATACTTACTGACTTCGGTCACTATATCACATTATTTGTGCACAAGCAACATGTCGATAGGGTTTCCTGTACTTTTTGTTTGTTTTATGATCATCTGTTAAATACAAAATGGCCGGCAAAACCCAGAAATAATGATTTTTTTACATTAAATGTCTCTAAACATTAGTAATTTCATGCTTCAATATCAGTTTTGAACTAAATGCATATACCAGTTTTTTTAGTTTTAAGCCATTTATTGCAGTAAATTAGCTTTTCCGGTGCTGGTTAGCTCCATACAGAGACAAACAACGATTCTAAAATCGGTGGACCAGTTAATGCACCAGGATGCGACAATTGTGACTATACTCAACTAACACAATGGCTGCAAGTGGACAACTTTGTATGCAGGTACATGTATGAGTTCATCTGCGTTCACAAGGCACATGGTTTGTTTTTCTACAACTTGAATTAAGTATGAATTTCAACAAGCCACACTCCATACTTTATTTATGAGTTTTTAGAGTCTCACTAAAACAAGTATTTTATTGCATGACAAATCACGTACAAAATTATGAGAAAGCGAAATTATAGCTTCGTGATAACAAGACGAGGACATTAAACCATCCCCAGAAGAAAATTTCAAAATAATATGCATGAATTAATTACAAATTAACAATTATAAAAAAAACAGTGTACAAGTGATATCTTAATTACCAGGCGAAACAAGTTAGTTGGCGAATTAAAGTAACTGCTCCCAGGAACTGACCAATTAATTTAATAATTAGATAATTGTTCTGTAACACAACAGATTATGATTATGAAATAATAATTATAACAATCATACACTTTATTTTAAGAGGGTAACGCGTGTTAATGTNTATTCAGAAAGTTGGGAATTAATCTTCGTTAGCATACTTTCAAACATAAGGTAATAATTAGCGAATTCAACAACAGCAGTTCAATGATGGAGATTAAAATATTAATAGAAATAAAAAGGGCTAAATTAAATCTTACACGTTAAATTGATAAAAGTTCTTTGCATAATAACTTTTGTAAATAGGCCAACAATTCCCATAGAAATGTACAACCTTGAAAATAAAACCTTTGATCGTGGCTAATTTCAGTCAAATTATGATATAAAATGTGAATACATGCAATTTCCAACTCAGAATAATAATTGTGATGTCATTTGATAATATACTTACTGACTTCGGTCACTATATCACATTATTTGTGCACAAGCAACATGTCGATAGGGTTTCCTGTACTTTTTGTTTGTTTTATGATCATCTGTTAAATACAAAATGGCCGGCAAAACCCAGAAATAATGATTTTTTTACATTAAATGTCTCTAAACATTAGTAATTTCATGCTTCAATATCAGTTTTGAACTAAATGCATATACCAGTTTTTTTAGTTTTAAGCCATTTATTGCAGTAAATTAGCTTTTCCGGTGCTGGTTAGCTCCATACAGAGACAAACAACGATGCTAAAATCGGTGGACCAGTTAATGCACCAGGATGCGACAATTGTGACTATACTCAACTAACACAATGGCTGCAAGTGGACAACTTTGTATGCAGGTACATGTATGAGTTCATCTGCGTTCACAAGGCACATGGTTTGTTTTTCTACAACTTGAATTAAGTATGAATTTCAACAAGCCACACTCCATACTTTATTTATGAGTTTTTAGAGTCTCACTAAAACAAGTATTTTATTGCATGACAAATCACGTACAAAATTATGAGAAAGCGAAATTATAGCTTCGTGATAACAAGACGAGGACATTAAACCATCCCCAGAAGAAAATTTCAAAATAATATGCATGAATTAATTACAAATTAACAATTATAAAAAAAACAGTGTACAAGTGATATCTTAATTACCAGGCGAAACAAGTTAGTTGGCGAATTAAAGTAACTGCTCCCAGGAACTGACCAATTAATTTAATAATTAGATAATTGTTCTGTAACACAACAGATTATGATTATGAAATAATAATTATAACAATCATACACTTTATTTTAAGAGGGTAACGCGTGTTAATGTACATTTATCTTCCAGATGACCCGTGTGTCCTTCGTGGCCCTCGTACATTCATTGTGCTCAGAGTTGATTGAAATGTTGTACAAACTACGTATGCACGTTTCAAACACACCGCTTTCACTCTGTTCACACTCTGAATACTAAAATAGTCTGAATACTAAAATAGTCTGAATACTGAAATAGTCTTTAGTGTACCAAGAAGTGCACGTTAAGTGAACCTTTTTCTAAATGTTAGTTTAAGGACGTGCCACCAAGGCCCACATCATACCCGCCACTATGACGTAGAATGGGGGACGAATGCCGCCAGCTGCAGAGACGGTAGAAGCCTGGATCCCCGGAATGGTGGTCACCCACAGCTTCCATCGACTGGGTATGACGTCAGAGGCAGGCTTGGTGACGTCACCTAACTCGATGTACTCTTTCCCGGTTGCTGTGTATTGCGGCCAGTTTGTAGTCGGCGGGTCTGGTTTGTTAGGATCCCTTTATGAAATGAATAAAAACTATTCTGTATTAGTGCGTGGCATCAACATACAGTGAAGGTTAGACCTGTATGTAGAAAAACAAATTTCCTGAAAATTCCAAGAGTTTTCCTTTACCACCCAGGTTTATTGTACGATATTGAGAATGTTACTAGTAGTTTCTTAATCTCGTTTTCGGGTTCTTTGTTTCGTAATCGAGATATATGAATTGGCGAACTAGTATAACGGCTTTTGCAAACACTTCTTGGTAACTAAGAGATTTCCACAGCTGTATGTTATTCCCTACCGTCAGGGAAAAATAAATTCAACTATACTTTAGGGGAATATTGTGACAACAGAATTATCAGATCTATACTCACCCTGTTTTAGCAAAGTTCGCCCAATACTTCATCATTTCATAAGAAATCCTCTTGTCTCCGCCATCGAACTCGACGCCGTCATCAAACATAGTTGGATGATCTGGACCGAGGAGGTACGAAAGGTCGTCTGCGTGGTTTGACCGATAGAACCAAGGAGGGAATTTCAAAACATAGCCATATGAAGGTACCTTTGTGAGGTAGTACAGATATGTAGAGCCATTACCCGATGCTGAGTGTTTATCTGTGAGAATTGCCACCGGTCCTGCTAACGCCCAGTCTGTCATGATGTCGACATAGCGGTTAGCAGTGTCATATCGATTAGCTGCGCTATTGTAGTATTCCTTCATCAGAACGTTCTCAATTTCAGCTTCGTGGCCAGGCGACACTTGCTTGGCCAAATCAGGGATGAACTTGTCTCGTAACTCTGCAGGGGTGATCCCGTTATCGATGTCATGGGTCAATATGGCCCCATCTCCGTCAGTAAAACCTCCCAAACAGTCCAGAGAACGAAAGTGCCGGGAGACTTCTGAATCAGGGTTTTTAAACATGTCTGATAAGGATTCTGGGAACATATCGCCATCGACCTCACCGCTGTAATGGAGGATCCCAGGGACGCCTGTGGTAGCAACTATACTCGCGTCTAGGAATCGATCAGCTGTTGTTTCCCGCAGACAGTCGAGGAGTTTTGACCTTTCTGTCTCCCCGGCGTGGCAGCCTATAATGTCACCAATCTTTAAAGAAAGTGTTGCAGCTTTTTCCGTCGTCCACGCCCACTCTGCCCAGGCGGACCCGCTCTGAGGAATGAAACGGTGAAAAAGGCCTTTGGCTTTTGTGGTAAGAGCAAGCTGAGAGACACTGCTAGCCCCGGCAGATTCTCCGAATATAGTAACCCTGGAAACAGAATAAAATTTTTGATGGAGGTACAATTAAGGCTCCGTCGGGGTTCGTCGATGCGTTATCAGTGTTTTGACTGATTGCATCTATGGGCCGTTATCTTGTATATGTAATACTAAGGTATTGGTTGGGCTAGATTTACTTTATTTCCTCATACTGAGGTAAGATAAAGCAATATATTTTGCATGGACATGTCAGTGCTCAGCATACCACACACATATCAATGAAATTAAATGTAACATCATATATTATATGTATTTTCTAAATATATGGCCAAACTGGTTTGGACAGAGCCCAGGAAGTGTCGAATGAAACAAAAAGACTAAGCAAAAAAAATCAAACAGATATTTTAACAAAGGGAACCAAGGGAAGCAGGCGCACAGTTAAGCAAGTCACATTCCTGACAAACTTACTTTTTAGGGTCACCACCAAAGGCTCTTATGTTGTCTTGTACCCACTTCAGTCCCTCAATCTGATCCCACAGTCCCAGATTTCCAGTTGCATTATTAGCGCCATCTATACTCAGGAAACCAAATGGTCCCAGGCGATAATTTACTGATACAACGACGATGTCGCCTCTTGCAGCTTATGAAATTACAGAAATTATACGTCATATATCTAAATTAGAACAATTACTTTCTTCTTATTTTTCTTCCCATTCCACTTTCCCGTTTTCTCTTCCATCCATTCCCTTTAATTGTGTGACTAATAGAATTTATTTTGAAGCAAATAAGACTGTACATTGATAGTGGGCGTTAGTTCACATGCAAGGTTGCATATTTCTCTTGGATACATAAAGTTGCCCACGGGGCGAAGTCAACAATTTCGGAATCAATACAAAATTCAGAGAAAGTAATTTTGGTTCACAAGGATTGCCTAAGGGACCTACCAAATTCAGTGAAATCATAGTGAAAACTTCCGCCAGTGAAGTAGCCCCCGCCATGAATCCAGAACATTACAGCTTTGACGCCAGGGGTATCAGGAACAAACACGTTGAGTGTCAGGCAATCTTCAGATATCTGCAGTGGAAAATAAGTTATGTATTTCATACGCCTAGTGCCATTAGCCGTGGGGCAACAATTTATGGGATGCCACAGAGTTCCGTAGGTTAGGAATTTTTCCCTATCCGCTTAGATAATGCCATGTTCCTTGAGAATGTAGAATCAAAAATTCATCGCAGCGAATTTGCTTGTTCGAGTGGCGTTTTTGTGGTATTTTTATCAAACATATCTCCCTCACCCGGACAGAAGCAGAAGCGCTTGAAGTTGTGAATGAAACAACAGAAATAGATAACTGTGCACTGAAAGTGTATAGCGCTGAAATAAAGAAAAAATATTCTACAATAACAAAACACGGAAAGGTTTTCTTTTGCCAAATATAGGCCTCTCTTACTTATCGAACACCATCATACAAAAACAAAACGGTTGTGTAAATCACCAGATGGTCCTGCCTGAAAGACAAAAATACTAAATTTCACACATTTAATTTGAATTCTAATTTAAAATCTCAAAGCGCGCTTTTGCCTTTGAGGGAAATTAACCATAAATATTTTTACTGCAGTATGTGAATTTTGTCTACCTACGTTTTTAGGATTAGGAAATCCATATGGATTGGGTCTCTGCATGCAAGCTGGACCGTACTCCGTGGCGTCCTTCACCCCCGTCCAGTTGCTCGCAGGCTGGGGCTTTGCAAATCTAAGGTTCCCAACTGGAGGTTTGACAAAGGGAATACCTAAAAATTCGTTCACAGATGTCCCGTTCACTGTTTTGTTGAAACCTCGTATTGTACCGGTTGTGATGTTGACCTCTAACTGGCTGTCTACTACAGATACTGACAAAATAAGCAAAGGCAGGTATCGAATCCACCAAGCCATTTTATGAAAGTTCCTGATGAAGTTGTCGTCCAAAAATCTGAGAAGTAAAGACCAAAATATCTAGAAGAGCTGCAAATTTATAACTTTCGCTCTCATAAATATGGCATATGAAGTTGAGAGCAGTTTACTTATAAAATGCGAGTACTATCTTTAGTCACTTTAGTCATAAAATATCTGTAATTAATCCCTAATCATAACATGCATTGTCTTCAGGAAAACCTTGTATTGTTTCAAATTCGATAAAAGAGCTGTTTTCCTGTGAAAAAGATTTTAAAAGCATTGTTAATCTGTTATTACCGGCGTGATTTGTAATTTCAGATAGTGAATTTAATAAGTGCACTTTTTTATAGAATAAGATACTTACAAGTAGATTTCTCCATTGTGTGCTAAGATTATGTAGTGGTCATTGAGATACCATATGTATTGTATTATTCATGCGTAATGATCGACTTGGCGTAGAGTGATAAAAATGTGTTAATTTTATGGAATGATTAAAAATGAAGAGCATTTCTCGAATTTCATATTCCCTATCACAGCACACCGTCCTCTGGCAAATCGTTATCAGGTACTTGTCTTAATATCGCCATTTTGAATAAATTACTGGAACATAATCAGAGGCGGATCCAGGATTATTTGAAGGAGGGGGGGGCGCATTTTAAAAATCAACTGTAGAGAATAGTTTCAAGATACATGTTTTAACTTAAAAGTGCAACTACTATTATATATTTGAATAAATATCCCATTTACATATATGTATTGTATTTGTACTGGTCACTTATAATAAACGGCTGTTTATATAAAGGTGTCTACCCACGGGATCCGTTTTTACAGGTATTTCACACTGTTAACAGCTGCTGACTTATTTTCTTATTTTCTAAATTTCACTCTGTAATTTACAGCACTAAAACGTCTCTTAGTCCTTGGTATTTCACTTAGAATTCGTTTTGCACTGTGTACGTTCATATCAAAAGCGCCTTATCAAGGTATTTATAATAAATATGTATTTATAAAAGCGCCAGCATGTCTCTTCCTTCTCCCCTTCCATTTCTGGTATTCAAGTAAACATCGACCAGGGAAGTGATAAATTATCTACGCGATAGAAGCTCTACTGTACATGCAACACCTAAGGTCAAGGCATAGGACCGTGTGAAGTTCTTATCATATATATGTCTCTGCTTGGACTTTTGAATTTTATCACTACCATAGAAAACCTAAGCTCTAACACACATATGAACATTTGCAGGGCAAAATGGAGAGAAACCCTTCTCCCCGTGAGGTAGCGTCAATGTATGGAAAAAACGTCACACAGAATGCCTTGGGTTTTGATTGTACACTTGACATTAAACATAAAAGAAAGTATACCGTTCATTTCATGCTTCTTCATTGCACATTACTTTATTGTTAAACGGGCATCTTCTAATTACGACAATCCAAATCGACTTTGTTTTTGATCTTTTGCTGAGAGTTGCCTAAAAGTTTCTTTTCTTCACAATGTTCAAATTATACCTCGATGACAAACATAATACCTGTTCCTATCATTTCCTTTTTCGAATCTCCCCCAACACAATCACTGTACACAATGGACATTTCATGTCACAACCATAACAACACATTAATTAATGTGTCAACGGCACTCGCTGTCTCGCTGTCGTGTCACTCACCTGATGCTTATCATGTACTTATCATGTATCCCATTCACATCTTAATTTTGTTTTGTAATAAATATGAATCAATTAAGTACACCGCCTGATAATTATCTGCTTTCAAAGATACGACATACGTTGGCGCAAGTGAACATACTGTTGGCACCCAATGTTAGGACAAAAGTGCCATGTTCGCCATACATGTATCTGTTATATTCATAGGTACTCTATACATCCAACACTGAGAATTAATTTCGGATAGCAAATAATAATTTTGGCAGATTCACTGACATTAAAAATCTATTTATGTAAACGGATGTTAGGTAAACAACTGGGCATTATTATCATTATTATTAGTAGTGTTGGTATTATTATTATTATTAGTAGTAGTAGTAGTAGTAGTAGTAGTAGTAGTAGTATTAGTCTACCCTTATGACAGAATACAGGCAATGGGTAACTGAAACAACATAAAAACTGACGATTAGCTTCAAATAATATAATTATATAAATACCATAGCCACATACGCAGCTGCCACGTAACTAGGTGAAATAAGGCACGTCGCTGGAATTTCAGTATATAAAAGTGATTTTTTATGCAGCAGGGCTCTTCAAACTGTCATATCAGTGAAATTAGACAAATCCAAGCGGTGTTCTCACAGTTGGTTTACATGTAGCATGGAGTCTTGGACTGTGATTGGCATCTGCGCCTCTCTGGCAGTTGTAATTCTGGAGGGAGTGAAATCCCAGACCATTGTGTACATTGACAACGGAGCGTTACAGGGAGCGACAGAAACTGTACATGGGAACAGAGTGGATGTATTCTTAGGTATACCATTCGCCAAGCCTCCAGTGGGAGATCTCAGGTTTAGGTTACCAGAGCCTGCAGAGAACTGGGAAGGTGTTAAAGATGCCACGGCGTTTGGGCCTGACTGCATGCAAAACTTGCCGAATCCTTATGGCTTTCCAGATGTTGAGACGGTAATACACGCTATATACTTAACGCGTTCTTTTGCCTCGTCAGTGGGTCTCTTGGTAAAAGGAAAATGTGCTTGGAATAACCTTAAATTTATCAAGGAATTAAGATGTTCTCTTCAGCCTATACATAGAACATTTAAAAGCAAGGTTGTCTTTCTGTGGAGGATCAAGAAAAATTAACAATAGATGGATAAATAAATAAATGAAAAATAAAGAGAGAATTTAATTTGTAACCCATCCTACAGATGAAAATCGATAGGTCAGTGAGATCATTCCTAGTCCAGGTTTGATTTGCACAAAGTGAAGGGTCTTTGTCCCCCTTCTCTCTCTCTGTCTCTCTCTCTCTCTCAACAAATCGTCTTCAGCCAAAACGTGCTCTCTTAAGATACATGTAGACACGATATGCAAAATAACATTAGGTATATTAAAAGCGGAAGCCCAAATACGCTAACAAATAAAAAACTATGATCTTCACTCTTTGTCATGTAGGTTTGCCTGACACATAATGTTTTTGTTCTTCGGTCCACAAACAGTTCCACCAATATAATAATTACGAGAAATATTATTTAAAAACCTCCCTCTTCCAATTGCATTGTGGCAGTGATAAAACCACTAGATAATTTATTGTCCATACACTTTATTCGGTAGATTTCAGAAGATTGCCTGACACTCAACGTTTTTGTTCCTGGATCCACAAACAGTACCAACAATATGGCAGTAATGGTCTGGATATATGGTGGAGGATATATCACAGGTGGAGCGTCTACATATAGTTTCAAAGAATTCGGTGAGCAAAACTTTCAAATGGTGTAAAAAGTGTTCTTGCAATAAAGATGAATATGTATGCAATACCGTATACGTTTTCATGAAATTCTGTAAGTAACGGTTAGTAATGCCGGTGAATAGAAAATTGTTTTCTCTGCTTTAAGTAATTTATATACAGTTATATTATTGTGTGTGTCAGCATCATCCACAGTATTAGAATTCAGATTTACATGTATAAGTCAAAGTCTTCATACGCTGTAATGAATTTCTTAAAACCCACATCTCTAGAATTTTTTATTTCCACTTACCACATTATGCTTTACTATTAGAGTGGCAACTAAATGTATGAATGTTTTCTGACACAATTGAGACTTTTCCGAGGAAATCTCCCTTGGTTTAACTCATGTTTCGTTGTATTCAAATTTTCGAAAATGAAGATAATCCCACTGTATTAATATGAAATGAAAAAATCGAGTTTGGTGAGGATGTGTCAAATGTTCATGGTATACTCATGGTATTTTTCATACCACCACCAGTATACATGTGTGTTCATTTATATGGCCTTGTCTTGATTAAGTCTTTTTGTCTGTATATTTTTGGTACACTGTACCTTGTTAAGTTTAAGTTCGACGAGCAGCGGACCTATACAAAGCACGGAATATTTTTATATACAGGGGTATTCGCATTGAAACTGACAGTCTGATTTTCTTCCATATTTTAGCTGTAACAGGTGACGTCATCGTCGTGTCTGTGAACTACCGCCTGAATGTGTTCGGGTTTCTCAGCATTGGTGACGACAGCATACCAGGTAATATAGGACTCTGGGACCAAATTGAGGCGCTGAAGTGGACCAAGAACAATATCCAGTACTTTGGCGGGGACCCTGAAAGGTATATACCTCCGTAAATATTCAGTGACTAAGAATATTAATGAGTTACAAAATCTCTTATCTATCCTGTTGGCCAATTACTTAGTTAACAATGTTACATAATATGCATGGTAGTGGAGAATTGAATAAACCCCTTATGATTGGCAGGACCATTTGGCTTATGAAACAGTACTGTAGAGTTATACAGAGGGGTGACAAAACTATTGCACCATTTAGCTTAAATGTGAACAATAGCTGGAGTTGTTTTTTTTTGTATTTTTTTTCAGTTGATATTTATTGATAAGCGGTTTTGTCAAGTTAGTATCTTTACCTAAGTTTTACAAACCAGTATTTTTCCCGTGCACAACGAATGTTATTATTTCAGTACTAACTTTTTGTAGGAAAACCACGCGATCTCAATATGGCCACAATTCTCGGCATAGACTGTCAATGGTTCAGTTATCTTGGCCAACTTTAAAACAGTAAAGGTTTAAATTGACACTGGTGGTTTTCGGGTATTTCAGAGTGTCACTTTTTGGCGAATCTGCGGGTGGCAGTTGCGTGACACTATTGGCCCTGACGCATGTGTCGTCTGGACTCTTCCACCGCTTGATAAGCCAGAGTGGTACTGCCAATGCTTTTTGGGCAATGTCAGAAAATGGTCCAGAACTTGCTGTGAGAGCTGGGAACATTGTTGGCTGTCCAACGGCAAACACCACGGCACTTGTAGACTGTCTACGCACCATAGATGCCGAGACACTCATGAATGCCAGTGTGAAAGCCACTATAGGAGTCTCTGGGTCTGTTTATACACCTGCGGTCGATGGTGTCTTGCTTACTAAACCAATATCAGAGATGTTAAGCGATCCTATTGTTTTGCAGCAACTCCGTTCTTTCGACTTCGTTGCTGGATTTCTCAATGGGGACGGAGGATTCTTTGTCAGGAATATGTTCACCGACGGAATTGATCCACTTTTCTTCCGAGACACACTGATTCCTGGTATGACAAAATTGGTGTTTGAAAACAACCCAGACGTTGTCAGTGCAGTTACCAAATTCTACTATGACAAAAACGCCACCAAAATAGAAACAGCACGTAATTATGTCGACTTCGGCACTGATATTTCCTTCACGCAACCAGTTTTTGAAATCATGACTCCTCATATCTCTGAAGAAGAGGGGTCGACATACCTTTACTACTTCATGAGAAAACCACAAAATGGGAACATTGCGTCTGGTTTACCACCTTGGTTTCAGCGTGCAAGTCACGGAGATGATCTTCATTTTATGATTGGTTCACACGAACCTTTCGTCTCCGGTGCTACTTCCACGGACGATGAGAAGTATTTGTCTAAAATGATGATACGATATTGGTCAAACTTTGCCAAGACCGGGTAAGCTGAGTTGTATTATCTGAATGTGATCACAATTACTTTTACTATAAAGGAGCAGTTTAAGCTGGATTTAATGACCGCAGTTTCCCGTTAAAATGTAATTGAGTAAATCATACCTCAAGTATTAAATTTTATGATACCATGAAACTAACATATAAACCTTATTGAATCCACTGTTAATGAACTCCATTTTGGTTAACAAAAGGACATTTAGAAGAAATTTCGTGAATATCATCCATGTTTAAAAGTTACGCTGAAACACGCGCACAGAACTTTATTAGTGAAGAAATTCTAATTGTCCCAAAACCATTTGCCTTTCAAACCCGCCAAGCTACATCAATTTGTCTGTTTTTCTAACGCTACTACAGTGTATATGCAGTATTGCTGCCTTTTTGCATCTCATGTTGAAAAGGTTTGCACATTTTAACTTCAAATTACTCATTACTTAATTGATGACACCTGACAACAGATAATCTTTCCCGTATTTTAATCGGGTTAAATTGTTATTATAACTTATGACTTGTTTCAAAAATCCAAACATGCCAGAGCCTGTCCCAGCAATATGGGAGGAATACACTGTGAATAAAGAGCACTATCTCGAATTTGGTGACGTCATAGTGGGAGAGAGGTGTGTCATTCCAGAACGGGTCAAATTTTGGATGAAAACTATTCAAAAATCATTACTCGTTCCAATTAAGTTTGAATATAGTGGGTTAAAACATTGGGAGGTCTCCTTTCGGACTTAACGTTTGTTGAATTTCATATATTTTAAACACTTCAAAACAAGTTTATTTTATTTTTTTGACACTATAGTGTTTATCGATATTGTTGTCTACGTTGAAAACAACATTGATATTCCGATTCTCTGCAAAGTGTTTTAAATGCGTGTGTCATGAAGGGGATTTGAAGGGGACTTTTTCAGTTCCGTCGTGGTATTTTCGGGTAAAAGGCAGGGCCCAGTTTTATAAAGGACGTTTAGCACTAACCAGTGTTTAACTCTTACCAGACCTTAACAGTCTGTTAGTTAACTGATCTTTAAATAATTATTTAATCCAGTTAAACACTGGCCAGGTAAACACTGGCCAGTAATTGGTTGTTTTCCGTCAGAAGACTGTATATGAAACACAATTTAACCATCTTTTAGTTAATGGGTGTTAGGAGAATTTATCCACTGGTTAGGCTTATCCACTGGTTAGTGCTAAACGTCCTTTATAAAACTGGGCCCAGGCAGTTAAGCTGTGTAAAGCAACAGGTGCTGCAGTCCATATGTCTGCATTCTTTTCTCAGGACGGCTAACGCCTAACGCTACCTCATATAATTTCAGTCTGTATAAAATCATTTGCTTTGTTAGTACTAGTAAAAAGCAAAAAATACTGATTTTTTTTTTTAATTTGAAGATTTCACTGATGTTCAACAGGAGCAATTTTAGCCCTATTTCTGTTTAAAATCACATAAAAAACTTTTCCAAATTAAGGTAAGACCGACACATTTTGTTTAATTCACTATGATACTTATCAGTCAAATCTTTACAGAAATATTGAGATAGGACCCATTTCCAATAAAACCTTTCTTCTCCTGGTATTTGAAAAAAAAAAAAAAAAAAAAAAAAAAAACAGAAAAGCCGGTGATTATACGAGTAAGTTGAAAACAAAAGTGTTTTAAAATCTGTATATCTGATTGCATTCGGCGAAAGTCTCCACGGAGTTAGATCGACCTAACTAGAACGATAGTTTCACTGGGAATGAACCCTAAGCATGTGCGCCATTTTCCATTGCCACGAGATGAAGGTCACAGCTTCATATGCTCAGTAAGGTCGAGACTTTAAAACGCTGAGGTCCCGATTAAACCATGGCTCCCGTGTTGGGATATTGGGACATGAGGGGGGTACGTATTAACTGTAAATAAAATCTTTTGGTTAATTTAAGAGAATTACTTATTGTGTATTCTGTGAACGAGCGGAGAGATTACTTTTTAAGGGAGAGATTTATTGGGGGAAGATGGTATCGACGTATGGTATCGTATGGTAAATGAGGAGATTATTGCCACGGTACGGGCAGCTACATTTACTTTCAGCAGGCATCTGAGGAGGCTGCTTTACTGAGGTTTACTGATAATAAAAGACTCTGAAATCTAGGGCGTACACAAAAGGTGTTTAATAACTAGTTCACGCAGTATGACCTCGATTGCGTTTTAAATAAAATTAACTACAAGTCTGACCTAGCTGAGGTAACTGACATACACAGACATATAGATTACGTGTATATAGTTCGGTTATGCGGGCGATTTATCTCTTCTCAATTTTTGTATTGCCCCAAACTAATCCCAATCATACATGTAGAGCACGACACGTCTATGAATGTTTAAATATCCTTTTTGTTAGTAAATGGCCAATTTAGAACTAACATTTTTTAAATTCTGACACCAGCTTTGCATTTAGGTTCACCAAGTGAACATGCATACCTACGTGAATGTACGTTGAGCAAAATCTGCGACGTATATTATTTTTCGCCAATGTATATGGGGTCCTTTAAGCAGTGTATATAAAAAATGCGCAACGCAACACATCAACTGTAAGACTTGTGACCTTAACTACTCAGGCTGGCAACGGAGTATCAAAATATCAAGTTAGCATTTGGTTTACTAGTTACATGTCAAGTAGCACTAGTTAAGATATGGGGAAAGAAAATAAATCGCCTTGTAATGCAGGCTGGTCAATTCCAATGCTACAGTTTCCAGCACATGTTGGTAACCACATGTTGGTAAACACATGTTGGTAACCACATGTTGGTAACCACATGTTGGTAAACACATGTTGGTAACCACATGTTGGTAAACACATGTTGGTAAACACATTTTTCCAAAACAAATGCTATGTAGCTGCGTGTAACAGAGAACACGCCCTCAGTTTGATTCACACAGGTTAGGGTTAGCGTGACGTAAGTGGGTCACAATCTAGGACTGGGTTTACCTGGACGTATCAATGGGAACTAAAACCTGTATCACTAGGGACTCTCGTTCGTGTGATCGGCAATAAATGGACATTCCATCTTATCTTTTCAGCTTGCCCACCCCATCCGAATGTTGCTCCATTATGTAGGAGAAGAGTTCGAAGACAGGCGTCATACACCAGGGCCAGGTACCTCTCTGTTTACATCTCTCTCTCTCTCTTCTCTCTCTCTCATTCTCTCACTCTCTCTCATGTATGAGCGCACGCACACACGTGTGCATGCACACACACAGATACACACACACACACACACACACAAACAGAGAGAGAGAGAAATTAATGAACTGTTCATACGTGTCACCTGATTACTAACATTAAAACCACTAAAACTTTTTCTACACGTAATAATCAGAATTATGTTCAATTTCGATTGACCAATGTTTGTTATTTTCTTTCACTTTAGCCCCGGACTTCAGTTTGGACCCGTGGCTTAAAATAAAGTTTACCCTTGGAGTGCCGTTTCCAAATGTAAGTATGTGTATGATCAGCTTTATCATGGTTTAATAGGCCTTTCAATGAGTGAACAAACTTTCAAAAGAACTTGTGTATATATCTTACTAAACATCACATTTTCAAAAAAAAAATAAATAAATAATAATAATAATAATAATAATGATAATACTAAAAAATTAAAAATAAAAAAAATCAGGTAAAACTTTAGGAAAACATTAGCGGTCAGATTTTACGAAAATGATATCCCTACATGTATAGCTCCTGGTACTTTTTTTTCGTAATGCGCTTTAAATATTTTAATAAATTATAAATATATAAAATTAACAATGGAAAAATAATATTTTGGTTGATTTGTTTCAGCCCGGTTTTTTTTTTTTTTTTTTTTTTTTTTTTTGCGTATGGCATTTTTGTAAGGATAGCAGAAAAGTCAATATTTCTGCCAATATGGTCTAGGAATTCAGCCAATAAGGGAATATACTTACCTCATAATCTCGATTAAATTTCACCGCACACTCCGCCCAACTGCCTCGTATTGGTGATACACGTAAAACCAGATCTAATAACAGTCTTTTCCACATACATAGGTTATATGGCTAATAATAGTTTTAAAGGTTATTTGATGATCGAAATTATTCTGCTGTTCTGAAACACTTGGCTTAGGGATCCAAAGACAACATATAGTGAAGTATTATCATTTTTTCTTTTTTTCCAGCTCCCTTACTGGATAGATGGCGACACTAAACTTGCGCAGAGCCACGCCATTATAAGACATCTGGCAAGAAAACATAACTTGTGTCAGTATTTTTTATTTAAAATTTTAAGCGTCTTAAAACGCTTAACTTTTCAGTTTTTCAATCTTTGAAAACTTCTGATGGAATTATTGACGAGAAACTGCGGTATTTTATTTAAAGAAAGACCTAAGTCTGGAGAGACAGGGATGGTGGTCCTAGGAATAGAATTGAAGTCTGGGGTCCTGTATGATTAGTACAGGTGAGGTAATAGGACGAATGTCACCTGTACAAGGCAATGAGAAGCGCGGGCCACCTTATCCTTATCCTCCTTATCCGCCTATAGAATCACCTACATTAAATTCTTGGCTAGAGAACTTTTCTTCTATACACCTGTGCACTTCCAAAGGTTTTTCATCAAGCCGAGGGCTGTTTATCAAAAGGACCGACGATTTTTTGTTTTGATTTGTTTTGTTTTGTTTTGTTTTGTTTTGTTTTGGCAGTGTTCGGACTTCTTAACTTGGATATTGTAAATTAAATATTGCAATTTTTCAAACTTTGATGGTATAATATTGGCGATTGACCTGCAATCCGCATTGAGTTGTTATCACAAGAATAAAAGAGAGAACCACTTTGAGTTAATATGGACATGTTGCTTGTTTCAGGTCCCAAGTCAGAGGCAGAGACAATAAGATGTGACGTCATCGATTATCAAGTAAACGATTTTACGTGGGATTTAATTTACGTCTGTTACAATGACTTCTTTAAAATGGGGAATTACGTAAGTATTTCTCACAATTCCCCAGCCGTTTTAAAGATAACATTGACAAACACACCGATTTTATAATTGATTTTTTTTTGTAAATTAATCACTGAATCTCAATCTACCATGTTTCAAATAAAAGCAATGTTCAGACCCAGAGCCAGAAAGTGGCACATCAGTCATTGCGTTAGCGAAGACATTATCAACAAAAGGCATTATTTTCAGCACCACGCATATGCTTCTTTAAACTACATGTATGATTGATAACCAAAGGTGTAATATCCATTTTATAAAGAGCTTTCTTTCACCCCATTTCCATAGATTTTTAGATCGATCTATCCCTGTGGGGTGTCTCACTAGATTACTGTCAGCTTGGTCGGCTAAAGCGTCTGTCACGCCTACTAAAAGCTGTAAGGGGGTAATTAACTATGGTGCCCGCTCGGCTGACTGCAATTTAGCGTGAACCCCCAGGGAGTTAGGTCGATCTAAATCTTAATCTTTAGATCGATCTAAATCTCTGGGAAAGCACCCTTTATCTAACAGGAACAAAGAAGAATTGAGTACCTGGATAAACTGCCGAGCAAGTTGAAGCAATACTCGGATTTTCTGGGAGATTTTCCTTGGTTTGCTGGAAATAATGTAAGTGGAATTAAGAGAGAAAATGATAATTCGAAAATTAAATGTTTTAAAGGGGTGTTAAAAGCCTGGACACTGTAGGGTTTTTATAAACGTTTGCTAGTTTGTTCTGGTTTATAAAAATTACAAATTATTATGATTTATATCAAATATATTATTATACCGTTATACTTTGATCAACATAAACCATAAATCGAGAAAGGCACATATATACCGTCATTCAATTCTACATTTTTGAATACTGCATTTTTTTCGTAATTTTAAGTTATCTTTTTGTCCCCCAGCTTACCTATGTGGATTTCATGGCATATGAGATATTTGAAACCCACCGTGCATTTGCTCCTGGCTGCCTGGATGGCTTCCAGAACCTAACAGATTATATGGACAGATTTGAGGTACACGTGCATATACATCAGACCATGACAATAATCCAATTAAATCACTTTTTATTCCAGGTAATAAGCTACAGGTATATTTTCTTTAAAATAGAGATTAAGTTATAATCAATCATTGACATTTTGGACCACTTTCTTTGGGTCCTAAGTGATTGTGTTTTAAAGCTTTTATCCAGATATATATGTTTGTTAACATATAATACTAATTTCACAGGCACTTCCTGCAATTCGGAAATACATGCAGTCGGAAGAGTTCACCAAGAAGCCATATTTTAATAAGTTCGCTAATTGGCGGGGAGACTGATCTCTCTGTAGGTGACCAATTCATTCTACTGCCAAACACAGAGAAGTTGTTAACCTTTGTTTTTTAAAAAAAGGGTAAAGGCATCATCTTTCGACTTCCGGTTTTTAGAGGTGGTAGCGATACAAGAAAATGTTAGCAACACAACTGACTACATTGAACTTTTTGGGTGAATATTTTCAGTTCCCGCTTCGCATCCGAGGCCTGTCATTAAAAATATAATAAATAAATAAATAAATAAATAAAAACAAAACAGGGTCCGCCCCTGAGGTTTATGTTCAGTTCAACTACCACTTGTTACTGTTAGCATTCACTGAGTGACATTGTCATTTTTTCGTTTATTTCCTAACCCAAAAATGTGCTCAAATGTACGTTTTATAGGCATGTAATAGATATGTGGTATATTCCTTGGTATATATCATATATATTTTTAGGACGACCCACTCCTAAAATGATGCTTAGACGGTGCCGGGGAAGGGAGGCGAAGGGGGGGACCTCATATGACATCCTTCCACTTTAAACACTGTACATATACACTTTATGTTTAGTTAATGATACTGCAGCGTAAATTATATGGATTTTTTTCTCAGTTTTTATTTTTCTACTCATTATGCATAGTTATTAGCATTTCATTGGGCCCCATGCGCCCCAAGGGCCGATTTTGTAAATGTACGCATTTGATGCAACTAATACAAACGCAGAACAAAATTAAGTAAGACGCGCCACTGCATTTAATATATCTTTTCTGTGTCTCTGTAGCTGTTTGTTGAAACGGCTGAAACAGCTGCTGGCGGTATATAATAAAACAGTCTCCTGTAACTGCGTAGAATATAGATCACAGCACAGTGTTTTAGTTTTGAGAAAATAAAATATATACAGGCCGTTAAGATTATATTCCAACTGCAGTTGTTGTTTGGTATGTGTGATTAACAAGTGCCCCATATTAAAGCCTATCCATATAATTTTGAAAGCTTTTTTAAAAACGTAAAAGCTTCGACAATCTAAATGGATGCTGGTGTGTTTTATGACACTGTTCACAGACTGGCGGCTTTCATCAACAGTTTTAGTTAAACAGCAGCCCCTGAGTCCTGAAAACTAGGATTACCAGGCCCTATACCAATCCGTGACCGATAGATCTGACTGAGGATGTCTACTGGTTACCTTAACAAGGTTTATCTTTTTATCCCTTTTCTAAGATCATTAAAAATGAAACTCTAACAACAAAACTCTTTTTTAGCAATTAGAAGGTAGATAACACATATCCTAAAGTTGTTTTCATATAAAACGGATTGGATTTGAGTGCTGCTTTCAGTTATACAATTTCTCGTATATATTTCATCTCTAACATTGATTGTCTTTCTTTCATTTCTTTTCTTTTTATTTCCATTTATTGTCTTTCTTGACTCATATCCCATTTACATATGGTGACTTTTAAAATGGCAGTGGCACATTTAACCACCATTTTGATTACACTTTGCTGAAATGGGAGGTGGGTTCGACAGATACCATTGTCATTGAGAGACCCAGTCATGGAGAGACGTCTTAAGTCAGTAATGATTAGAAGTACGGGTTTCAAAGGGAACTTGAAAGTTGAAGTGCGATTAATGGTGAACTGAGGGATCTCACTCTTTCTCTTTTTCAATATCTCACACGAACAGAAATATTTCAATGAAGTTATCTTGACGTAAAAACAGCCCAAGTGCTCTTTCAAAGCAATTTTATTTTTCCCTTATACTCTTTTCCCAACCTTTACAATAATTCCCACTGGTTCAGAATAAAAACTGAAATCCATAAAGCAAAAAAGATATATTTTAAAACCCCTCTGTATCATAGCCAAACTATGGCAGACAGTACTCGGTACGGTCACAGGCGAAGGTTACCACCATTCTGCCATCATTCAGAAATTCGTTTCCGTGCACGTATCGAGGAGAGATCCCACGCGCTACGCCGTCACCGAACTCTGGCCTGGTCAGACTGGTGACATGCTGATTGTAGACGACGTACGTTCCTTGTGTGACGTCATACCCGGTACGATTAGTGTCTTGGCCCAAGGGGATGGGAATCAGCAGCATTGGCACACGGTGTTCTGCACGGAGCTTAATCTCGCTGTCGAACCCCTTCTGTCCAGGTTTCATATAGTAATATTGTAGCCGTATCATACTTCTTGCCGGGACGACCATTCCCTGATTTCGACCCTCCGTTACAGTAAACTCATTTTTGGTTACAATCACCCATGCGTTACTGTAAATGTTGGAGCCGTAATAACGAACTGTATTGTTGCGTGACTCCGAATTAAGTTTAAAATTAGCAGACATCGGAAGGGTCATGATAAAAAAAGTAAAGTTAACCGCTGCGGTATGGAAAACCACGGGAGCTGGATCAACCCCTGACAAGGTATTGTTGCCAACGTCCACGTTGATGCCGTACCAGTCGTTCAAAAACAGTAGGAACTTCCTCCCTTCAGCTGCGATGCTGGCGTTCGTGTTTAGATCAAAATATCGGTGTATTTTGTACCACTGCTCGCTGGCAAGTGCTTGGCTTCCACCTCGAACCACACTGCCGTGGCTTATCATTGTGTAGACAGCGCACATTCTTTCTCCCGACACCACCATTGGCAATGCGAAGCAACACAAGAGGGAAAAGAGACGCGGCACCTTAAAAAAGGAACGGAGTCATCCTTAATGCAACGTCCATAACATGTATGTAGATTATATCTTTAAAAAGTCACGGTATAATTGATAATCTCAAGATACCGAACACTCTTGGATTGTCATACAGCTTATAGAATGAAACTCAATTTACTGGGTTCTCAGGTCCTTAAGCATTAAAAATTTAACTGGATATATCCTTTGGGTTACTAGCCAATGTTTTCAGATAGAAACAATGCAGACATTGCAATACGGACATTCAAACAGGACTTAAAGTTTACAAATTATGTGTACAACACACCAATGAACAAATAAATCAGGTTGTAATGCTATAAAACGGACATGATATAAGTAAGCAACTGATGACGTTTACTGTTTGACTAACCATGTTTCCAGTCTTCGGCAATTACTGAGACACTCGAATTTACCCCGGTTTTATCTTCTTGGTACACCTCTTCGGCTGACTAGTGAAAGACAACTGAACAGCGGCGTATTCAAATTATATACAGTTTAAAAAGGCATTAATGGTACCATTACCTTGCAGAGATTTTCATGTTTATTTAACTGTGTATCCCGGATAAGCACAGGTGTCTGTCTATAACGGAAAAGAATTAAGTAACATTAAAATGAAAATAAACCGACAAACCTCTGTTGATCAACTAGCTGGTAGAAACTCTGGTCAACCAGACACTTTTTCCAACAGCACCAAAATAGCAAAAGAATGTAAGAAAACAAAAAAGATTGTATTTTACTTCTCAAAGACAGGTCGTATTCCCCCTCCTATTTATATAGAGTTTATACAAATGAATGAGCAGTTGATAGGGTGAAATCTGTCGTCTTTTAGCGACTTTCTTACCTGGGATGAACAGTAACCATATGTACACTAAACAAGTGAACAACGGCTAGATCGTTTTGCCTAGTCATTACCCAGGGGCGGTTCTAGGATTATTTGAAGGAGGGTCCATGGATGAGGAGCCCACCCTTCTCCCTTCCTCCCCCCTCCCTCTCCCAACACTTGGCGTGGGGTTCGGGGCCCGCCGAAGGACCCCGAAAAATGTTGGATTTTAGAGGGCGAATGGTGCCATTTGGTACGATTCAGAACTAGTCAAAATTTTAATTTCAAGCGGGGCCCAGAACCCCTGTTGCTTATTTCTTTAATATGGATAATAAAGACACTGTATGCATGTCACATCAGGTTGGCACCCGTGCCTCACTATGCAACAATCAAAGCAAAAACTTAGAATTCATTTAAATATAAATATTATGAAATACCATATCAGGCAAGCTCTTATCATGATGCATCCCAAACGGCCAATACCGTGAGATGATATTAACAAGCTCTCTGTTTTATGGCTCATATTTTTGTATTTGCTCAGCAGCATCTAAGCTCACTGAAATAAAAATATAATCAAAATGTAAGCTACTGGCTTATACCTAGTGACTAAAATTGGCCATTGCTTTAGTGAAGACTATCTCTGCAAAACACATTCATTTAGTTTACAATGAATGTATGACTGATAAAAAAGGAGCAACTCGGATTTTTGGGAGACCTTCCTTGGTTTGTTTGAGATAATGTGAGTGGCATTGAGATAAGGGTTATGTTAAAAGCCCGGCCACTGTAGTGTTTTTTATAAACGTTTGCTTGTTAGTCCTGGTTTTAAAAAAATTACAAATTATCATTATTTTTTTGCAACTAACAACAGTGGAATTGTACAAAAATATAATAACAGACTACAAAAATAAACTAACAATTAAGAACAAAATTATCTGGGAAATATCATGCACGATCAATGCTACCATCGTACCTCCTTTGAGCCTCCAACGGGAACCAGTTTCATGTTTGCAGGGTTGCCTTCCAGTGTCCATCCATGAGTGTCATCTCTTTCGGGGTTGACGTGAAATGATCTTCCATCTTGCTCTTTTCTTAATATCGTACACAGAAGGTTCACGCGTCGGCGCGGACTCCATAATCGCCGCAAGGATTTGGGCATGTCCAATACATTGGCACCAAGGACGCAGTTGAGGTTGGAAGCTGCGATGTCGCTCAAAGGAAGCAGAAAGGAGGCACCACCATCGCTTTGGTGCCAACGGGGTGCTAGAAATCTGGATGAACATTTTATGTTGTTCTTCAAGCCGAATTTAAAGTTTTCTATTCAGTTTTTGTTGTTTGAAATGTTTCCATATCTGTCATAAATGGCGGAATTCTTTTTCCCCACAAGGTCCTAAACAAACAAATCTCATTATCTTTTTGGAGTAAAGTCATATGACGGGAAGCAAAATCGATTTGAATTCCTCTACCTTCTCCTGTACTTTGTGACAATGTAAAGCTTTGCAAAATACCAGGCCTGCCGCAAACTCTCTCGCAAATTCACTTCAAATTTGCTGCAAATTTGCAAGAAGTTCCTGCAATTCGCTGCAAGTTTGCTGCTTATTTGCAGCAGATTTATAGCAAATTTGCAGGAACTTGAATAGTTTCTTGCAAACTTACTGCAAACTAAATATGTTCTTGCAAATTTGCTGCTAATTCATCGCTTATTTGCCAAAACGTAAAAACTTTTCTTGCAAACCTGCTGCAAAGTTAAGTTTTTATTGCAAATTTGTTGAAAATAAGCTGCAGTGCAATTTTTCTTCCAAACTCCTGCAAACTAGTCGCCGCAAACTTTTAATTTGCTGTAAATTTGCTGCAATTTTTCCGCAATATTGCTGCAAACTTTTCGTTTTGCTAAGGCCAGCCTTCCTTTCCACAGGAAGCGAGTGCGGAAGTTGGCAACCGGCAAACGTCAACCTTCCGATGATTCGACCAAGCGCCCGTGTAAGCCCTCCGACCGCCACCTTCGCAGATCGTGCTAATGAAACGACAATTTACCCAGGCTTTCATAGCAGAGCGCGAGCAATTCCCTCTTCGGAAAATAGTGACATGTCCACGATTCGGTGCCGNTATTCCATATTAAATGTCAAGTCTGTAGATCACAGCACAGTGTTTTAGTTTTGAGGAAACAAAATGTATGCAGGCCTTTAAGATTATATTTGAACTGCAGATGTTAATTGGTAAACGTGACCCACATTCATATAATTAAGAGCTTTTTAAACGTAAAAGCTTCTATAATCTAAATGGAGGCTGGACTGTTTCATGACACTATTCGTAGAGTGACAGTTTTTATCAACAGTTTAAGTTGAACAGCAACCCCTGAATTCTGAAAATAGGGTTGCCATGTCGTTTACCAGTTCGTGACCGATACACGTAACTCTGCATGCACACTGGCTATCTTCGCAAGGTTTATTTGGAAGGCTGTTTCCATTCCTTAAATTACAACCTTTGAGTTTTTATCCTTAAGTTCGATAAAAACAAAATTCAAGCAAAAACATCTTTTTAACAATTGGAAGATAGATATCTTTAGGTTGGCAGCGTATTCAAATTATATAAATGGATTTGATTTGGGTTTTGCTTTCAGTTATATAATTTCCCGTATAGATTTCATCTCTAACGATAATTGCCATTCGTGTCTCATAACCCATTTTTGAGTAATTTACATATGGTGACTTTGAAAATGGAAGTGGCACACTTTACCACCATATTGATAATACTTTGCTAAAATGGAAGGTAAGTTGGACAGATGTCACATAACCCAGTTATGGAGAGACGTCTCATATTCAGTGTTTATCAGAAATTAAGTTTTCAAAGGGAACTTAAGTATTGAAGTGGACTTTATGGACAGAGAGATATCACTCTCTCTCTCTCTCTTCCTCATTCTCTCACACGAACAGAAATATTTCAGTGAAGTTATCTTGACGTAAAAACAGCCCGAGTGCTCTTTCAAAGCAATTTTATTTTTCCCTTATACCCTTTTCCCAACCTTTATAATAAATCCCACTGGTACAGAATAAAAACTGGAAACCATGAAACAAAAAAAGATATATTCAAAGAACCGTTTGTATCATAGCCAAACTACGGCAGACTGTCCTCGCCACGGTTACAGGAGAAGGTGACCACCATTCTACCATCATTCAGAAATTCGTTTCCGTGCACGTATCGAGGAGAGACCCCACGCGCTACGCCGTCACCGAACTCTGGTCTCTTGAGACTGATTACGTGGCGATTGAAGACGGCGTACGTTCCTTGTGTGACGTCATACCCGGTCAGATTAGTGTGTTGGCCCAAGGGAATGGGAATGAGACGCATTGGGACACGGTCTTCTACACGGAACATAATCTTTCTATCGAACCCCTTCTGTCCAGGTTTCATATAGTAATATTGTAGCCGAATCATACTTTTTGCCGGAACGACCATTCCCTGATTTCGACCCTCCGTTACAGTAAACTCATTTTTGGTTACAATCAGCCATGCGTTACTGTAAATCTGGCAGCCGTAAAAACGAACTTTGTTGTTGCGTGACTCCGAATAAAGTTTAAAATTAGCAGACATCGGGATAGTTATGATTTTAAAAGTGAAGTCAACCGATGTGGTATCGAAAACCACAGGAGTTGGATCAACCCCTGACAAGGTATCGTTGCCAACGTCCATGGCGATGCCGTACCAGTCGTTCAAAAACTGTAGGAACTTCCTCCCTTCAGCTGCGATGCTGGCGTTCGTGTTTAGATCAAAATATCGGTGTATTTTGTACCACTGCTCGCTGGCAAATCCTTGGCTTCCACCGCGAATCAAACTGCCATGGCTAACCATAGTATAGACAGCGCACATTCTTTCTCCCGCCACCACCATTGACAGTGCGAAGCAACACAGGATGGAAAAGAGATGCGGCACCTTAAAAAAAAGGAACGGAGTCATCCTTAATGCAACGTCCATAACATGTATGTAGATTATATCTTTTAAAAGTCACGGTATAATTGATAATCACAAGATACCGAACACTCTTGGATTGACATACAGCTTATAGAATGAAACTCAATTTACTGGGTTCTTAGGTCCTTAAAAATCGGTGTCCAATGCCAACGAACACTCCTGGCAATGCTTTATATTTTGTAAGCGTTAAAAATTGAACTGGGTATATCCTTGGATTCTGTTGCCAATGTTTTCATGGAAACAATGCAGACATTGCAATACTGACCGCCTAACAGGACTAAACGTTGACACCTAAGTATGAGTACAACACACCAATGGACAAAGAAATCACCGCGGCCAGTGTTTACGATAGCAAAAACCACTAGGTTGTAATGCCATACAACGGACATGATGATTGAAAGAATATGATAAAGTTTACTGCTTAACTCACCATAGTCTTCAACTATTGAGATGCTCAAATGTGTCCCTGGCTTTATCTTCTTGGTACACCTCTTCGGTCGACTAGTAAAAGACAACTGAACAGCGGCGTATTCAAATTATATACAGTTTAAAAAGCCATTAATGGTACCATTACCTTGCAGCAATTTTCATGTTTATTTAACTGCGGATCCCGTATAAGCACAAGGCTGAGGGTCTTTAATGGAAAATCAGATTAAAAT